GTACCATACTGAGAATTTGGAACGACTTTGCACAATAATGCCACCAGAGGTCCGCTCCGACTTCGAAAAATCTTATGGACGGATTCTCGACCTGCTGAAGATTTGTGTCGATCAAGTTTTCATTAGGGTACTAGTTCACTTCTGGAACTAGAGTCTGCGCTGTTTCGAATTTCCGCAGTTCAACATGGTGCCCACCTTGGAGGAGTACGAAATTATGCTAAAATGGGCCAAATCAGCTGGGGTCCATATCTGCCACGGGGCATATACTCCTACAGCACAAGTCGTTGCCATCATCCGATTGCCATTCCGGCAGACTACCCTGATAGAAAAAGGGAACATCCAGGGTTGGAAAGTCTCAATGTTAGAAGATCATCTGTCCGATTTGGCTGAAAGGGCAGAAGGGGTCGCCTTCAACAAAACCCCGGCTCTGATTATATTTGGAACAATCTTGTTTCCCTTCCACATCGACACAGTGGATCAAGCCGTCATGGACACCTTCTTCGCCTGGGACATGAACTCGAAGAGTCCCTTGCCTGCAATTCTTGCCGACACCTTGCTCTCGGTGGAATTTTGCCGCCAGAAGCAAGGAAAAACACTCTGTTGTTGCTTTTCACTACTTTTCGTGTGGGGCATCACACATTTTTATGCCTCTAGTCACATGGGGATGTTCCCCGACCCTTTGGGGAGCTTCTCCAAAATCCCTCTCCAACGACGCTTAACCTCAGAGTGGAAGGATGAGTTGGAACAATGGGACGCCAACCATTTATCCTGGGTCTGCCCTTGGTTCCGACCCGGTCCAGTCCTCATCAGATGTGGGGATTATCCGAATGTACCCTTGATAAGACTCAGGGGTTGCATAGCCTATTCACCTAGAGTAGCTATGAGACAACTCATGAGGACTCAAACTACAATATTTTGAGGGGAGCTCGGAGGATTGTGTTTCTTCGAAGACCCATGCACAATTGCTAACTCACCAGCTGTGAGAAGATCATGGGAGAAACCAGTCTTTATGGGAGATAGAGAGCTAGGAAAAACTCGAGTGGCTGTCTCCAGTGACTATGAGGTGTGGAGAAAAAGAAGAGGGATGTCTCAACCATCCACCTCACTCGTTACATGCGCCAATAGTGAAGGGCTGCAAGCTCAAGTCGATGCTTTGAACTAGAGGATAGAAATCATGGAAGCCCAAATGAGGGCCATTGAGGAAAGAGAACAAGAATCTATCCTCACCATAGACGGTCTGCAAAGGCAATGCAAGAAAAAGGATCATGAAATAGAGCGCCTCAAGGATCAGTGTGCTGATTCTAATGAGCAAGCTATCCGAGCATCCAAAGCTGCTAGAACCAGCTCGGATAGCCAACTTCAAGAAATAACCGCCAAATCAGCACTCCTTGAGGCCGAATAAGCAAAATAGGCTCAAACGATCAAGGACTTGTTGGAAGACCTCACCAGGACTCGGTCAGAAATACGCCAAGAGCGAGAGGCCAATCGGAGGCTCAACAAAAGTCTCGTTGAGCTACGCTGCAAAGAAAGAGACGGGCTAGCTCAGTACGGCCAAGTACTACAAGAAAAGAACCGAGCCCTTGCAAAACTCGATGAACTACAAGCCTTGGTCGTCCATCAAGAGGCGAAGATCAAAGAGGCTCAAAAGTACAATGAAGATATGAGCCAGGCGGTCCAGAAGCAAAGTGAAGCACTCGCTCGTCACGTCCGTGAAGCCGAAAGGGAATTACATAGAGATCAAGACCCGCCTGTGGGTTTCTTTAGGCTTTTCCGTTTCTGTCAAAAGTTACTTCGTAGTATGGAATAGGGGAATGTACACCTTCTACGGATAAATGAAATTTTTCTTTATTCAACAATTGTCTACTTGCATGCATATCATTCATTTGCATATTTAATTTCCCCTCCTTCACTCTTAATAAATAAGATAATAAAAAGGAAGGATTAACTGACACGTCTTCCAAATCAAAAAAATGGAGAGAAAGTCACTCCTAATCAAGCTTTCCCCAACGGTTGACTCGCTAAAAGAGGACAATAAGCCTCGACCGTTGGTCCTCAAGAATAAGGAAGAGGGGGCAAGGACACCAGTGCGACTATTTACGCTACGTTCTTTCCCCTACGAGTCAAATAAAGTTGTACCATGGAGATACGGGGAATCTTCACCAATAAAGGAGGATATCTCCAACATAGCCAGCATTGGGGGCATGACTAGAAGTGGAAGAGTCTACTCCCCCAGGGACTTTAAGAAGATGTCTCTAAGAATAAAGGAAAAAATAAAAAGGCCGAAGAGAAAGAAAATAAAGAATCCAAGGAGGAGACAGAGGAATTACTCCAGTTTATAAGGCAAAGCGAGTATTCCATTATTGACCAGCTCAATCATACACCTGCAAAGATAACCCTATTATCTCTAATGATGAGCTCGGAACCACACAGAAATGCCCTGATGAAGGTCTTGAGTGAAGCGCATGTGCCTCAGACCATATCCCAAGAAAAGGTTGAGAGGATCGTCGGTCATATTATGGAAAGCGATCACCTCACCTTCACAGAGGAAGAACTCCCCCTCTAGGGATCAAACCACAACAAACCCTTGCACATTTCCATCAAGTGCAAGGAGTACCTCATTGCCAAAGTTCTTGTGGATAACGGGTCATCCTTGAACGTGATGCCCAAGTGCACACTCGACAAGTTGACTATCCAAGGAACCCGTCTGCGCCCAAGCAACACTATCGTTTGAGCCTTCGACGGATCAAAACGAAAAGTAGTGGGAGAAGTTAATTTGCCAATCCAAGTTGGACCCACTATCTTCAACGTCGATTTCCATGTAATGGATATTACTCCGGCATACAGTTGTCTCCTCGGCAGACCTTGGATTCATGAAGCTAAGGCAGTACCTTCAATGCTCCACCAAAAAGTCAAGTTCATAGTGGATGACAAATTGGTCACGGTCCAAGCAGAAGATGATATCCTGATCAGTGGACCGTCCACCGAACCTTATGTGGATGCGGTTGAAAAGGCTCTTGAAACATCTTTTCAAGCGCTTGAAATTGCCAACGTAGAAAGACTTCCCAAAAACACAAAGGTAGCCCGCATGATGATGAAGCATGGTTACCATCCTGGCCAAGGACTGGGGGCAGATTTCCAAGGTATGAGGGAACCCCCAAAATTCAAAGATAATCCTTACAAGTGTGGCCTAGGATATGACCCTACTAAGGGCCGAGCAGAAGGAATAAAAGGGAAGTCTCCCCTCCACACACTCAAGCAGATATTCCGAAGTGGAGGGATGCAAGCGTCAAGAGCTACCCTAGTCATTAGGAGATCTTTTTCTTCACTGAAGGGATGTAAACCCAATGATTGTTAGAGATTATCCCTCGGGGCTAGCCCAACCCCCGGGCATTTTAGGGCACATATTCCATTATTAATTAATAAAAAATATACTTCTTACTATCTGCTTCTCTTCTTGCTATTTCATGACTAGACCTCACAATAACCATGTCTAAGTAAACAAAAAAAGAAGAAGAATAAAAAGCGCATCCAAATAAACAAAACTTGCCATAGCCATTACAATCAAGCCAGTTAATTAGAAGCACAAAATAAGGCTTTACCTCACCATAAAGAAAGTCATGCTTCGCCAATATTGTGAAAAGAAAATAATAACAAAAAAAAAAAGAAAAAAGCCCATAGAAGCCAAAGGCAAAAAAAAAGGGGCAAAATACCCGGTAGGAAACCCACTAAGGGGGCTACGCAAAAGATAGGGTCAACCCGGTAGGATACCCGAACAAAAATAAAGGGTATCCTAGGCAGAAATTAGGGTTACAAAATAAGGTCCGCTAGGATTCCCTAAACAAAAACAAAAAGAAGGAACCTAGACAAAAGATAGGGCCAAAACACAATATCCTAGTTCGAAAACCCAAAGGGCGATCTAAAGAAATCAACCAGCCATAAAAAGCAATGGAAATAAGCTAAGGCGCAAATACAAAAAAAGGGAACGTTTGCTTAGACAAAAGCTTAAACACCTAGGTCTAACCTTAGCCAGCCATTCTTACAAAGACCTTTTTCTAAATAAAAATTAATCGTCTAAAACACAAGCCGTTGAATTTGCCCTCTTACTTCTCTTCTCTTGACCCTCACAACAAATATTCTAATAATTAATTTGGGAATATGGAGGTGTATAGTCAACAAGAGGATTGAAATCCCTAAAGTGAAGAAAAAGGGATACTAACATGGCAAAGTGTGCTCTACAAAAAAAAGAGAGAAAAAGAAAAAACAAAGAAAAAGAAAAAACAAAGAAAAAGAAAGAAAGAAAAATCAAAATTATTCTTCGGTCACAAGAAGTCCGGAATGGTACAGCCAAATACAAGAACGCAGATCTGAGGGTACTCGTCGCTACAAGACACGTCAGTTAAATCCTTCTGAAAAACTAAATGAAATAGGCATTATAGGACATCAAACATGAAAACATTGCATGCATAAAATGTTTTTGAACCAGGTCCTATTTTCTTAAAAAAAAAAAAGCTTCTAAAAATCGAGACCGCCATCCCGTATGTCCATACCGTTGTCTCGATTTTCAGTAACACGAGACTGCCATCTCTACCAACGAGGCCACCGTCTTGACTTGACCAAAAACGAGACCGCCTTCTCGCTTGGCGAGACGGCCGTCTCGCTTAAGGCCAAAGTCGAGACCGCCATCTCGAGGTTCCATACAGCCATCCCGGATTGCCCGAAATCAAGACCGCCGTCTCGACTTCCCAGACAGCGGTCCTGAATCTGAAAAATTTTCTATAAATAGAGGGGCCTAGGGGGGGGGGTCTCCACACCTCCTCTTGCACTCCTACCTTCCATTCTCTCACTCTGAAGCATCTTACTATCAAAAATGCACTGTGAAGATCAGTCTAGAAAGAGAAGAGGCTCTGTCGGCCCTAGCAGTTCCACAACTCCCGCTCCGTAGGATCCTACACAGCTTTCACCGCTGCACCAGGCTCGCCTAGAGCACATCCGAGGTATACATGGCACCCCATGCTAAGATTGGACATAGGCATCCTTGCCGAATTCGGGTGGAAGACGATGTTCGCGCCCACATCGACAGCATAGGGTGGCGCTTCCTCCTCCAGTCTCCACCTACCCACGTCTACCCTCAGGCGGTGTTAGAGTTCCTCGCCTCCATCTCCTACGCTGACACCCCCTCCATGGTATCGAGTCTGTCACCGACAAAAATGGTGACGTACTTCATGGGTGGGATTGTAGACCCCTAATTTTGCCCGGTCTCTCAAATAAAGACAAAAAGATCACCCATAACAAGATAAAGCTCGTCCAACATTACAAATAAGAGCCAAGAAGACTTCTTGTATGAAGATAAAGCTTCAACAGACACCTATCGACATCAACTGACGTCCGAAACAGGAAAGGAAAGCTTCCCAGGGTCCCGAAACGCGAAAACTGGGCAAAACAGGTCGAGACGGCCGTCCCAAAGTTGGGACGGCCGTCCCAACCTGCCAGAATCAAGTGGGACGCGCGTCCCGAAGGTGGGACGGCCGTCCCAAAGCCCAATTTAAGTGGGACGGCCGTCCCGGGTTCCCAGATGGTCTCACCCTGTGTAAAATTGCCATTTGGGATGGCCATCCCAGTCCAGACGACCGTCCCAACCCAGACGGCCGTCCCAAGGCGCGCCAGCTGTGAAAACTATAAATAGGAGGCTCATTTGCCACTTTTTGACAGAACAGACACTCCAGATAGCTCTGAAACTCCTAAAAAAAAAAACTCAGAGCACTTGTCTATTTCTCTCCCTCTCTCGAATGATCTTTCTGATTGCCTTAAATAGGTAACAATCGGTTAAGGAATTATATTCCGGCATTTGATTCTTTAAATTTTTAGTGGAGTCGATCCTGTATTGATGAGGAGAGTCTGTGTAGAGAGAGGGGTTGCCAAAACGCATCCTCACAGTTCGAGATTCTCAATATAAAGCTTGCTACGGAGGTTCTTTTCAATTCTCTTCTCTTTTATTGCTTTATTTATTGTTTTATTTAGCTTTATTGTTTATACCATGTAGAATAAAATCATGTAGATAGCCATTTTAATATCTCTTTTATTGCTTTATTTAGCTTTATATAAAATTATGTAGATAGCCATTTCAATATTATGCAATAAAATAGGGTAATCGCGTAATTTCTCGAAGTCTTCTCTTGAAACAAATTGATCTGTCATAGGGAACCCGAAAGGGGCGTTGTGGGGTGCTAACACCTTCCCCGCACGTAACTAACTCCCTTACCTAACTCTGGTTATAATGACCAAGTTTGGTTTTCATTAAAATCAATGCCTTTTATCCTTTTCCAATGTTTATGGTCAAAACATTGGTGGCGACTCCATAAGAACCCCTTTTCGAAAACCTTGCTTTTATTAGAGGATAGTTCAATTATCGGGCACCTCGGAAGCAATGAACACATTTTAAAACAAATACGCGAGTCTAAACCATCTTTTCGCGACCGCTCGTATAAACGTTCGAGACGTCATCAGACGTCGAAACGGACGGCGGCGACAGATGGCGACTCCACTGGGGAAGCTAGAGAGTTGATCCCATTTAGTGACAGATAAATTCAAACTAAGTAAAGATTTGAAATTGCGCCTTTACCCTCCGTATGTTTTTATTGTATGGCTTTAATAACTGTTGTATGATTACTTCTGTAAATTGGTTGAAATATAAACTGCACACAAAAACCCTTGCACACAACAGTCCCCCTATACCCGGGGGCAAGAGTGAATACCTTTAGGGAGTGGGTGGCAGATACGACCGGCTTGTTGGCACACGGGGCTACATCCGTTGTCGGAAACCACCAACTCAAGGTGATAACTCTCTTCTTTTGGTCCAAGGATGTCGACACGGAATTTCGTGCATGACCCGAAGACTGAGAGATTGAGAGGTCCCTATAATGGGGGCACCTTGGGGACCTTTGGCCTTGGTGAGAACAGTTTAGAACCACCCAAACAAAGCACATTTCTGCAGGAAAACCCTACCTCGTAATAGCGTGGCTTTGCTCGTGGATGTATGAATTGTGTGTGCATCCGTTTGTTGCATTTGTATTGATACATTAGCATAAGATAATCATACAACAAACAAAATAATAAAAAACCCTAAAAACCATAAAAATACCTTTTGTAAAAAAAAAATTTCTTGACAAAGTCGTATCATTCATACCATGTCATTCAATAAGTGTAAAACCAAGAGAGAAAACCAATGCATTAAGAAAAGTATGCATAAACATCATCATAATAAAATCTCTCATACATAAACACATTCATCCTAGGGCATATTTATTCCACGCTAATCATTTAAAATAAAAAGTTATAATAAGAATCATTAAAATCATTTAGAAGGTGGCTGGTCTTCCGCCCGTCCTCACCCGTGCTCAAAAGGCTAAGAAGATGGAACAACTAGAAGAACAAAACCGAAAGCTCACCGCTGAGCTTACTACGCTGAAAGAACAAATGGCTCAAATGTTAGAAATGATGCATCAACAAAACCTTCATCAAGAGGGTCCTCAGAATGGACAAGCCTCTCATCAGGAAGAAGAAGAGGAACCTCAGAATGAGCACGATCAATCTGACACAAGAGCAGTACATATTCATGCTCCTGAAGTATCAAAACAACAAATCACTGCTCTTGAAGAGAGGTTGAGAGCCATGGAAGGACATAACTTTGATATAAAAGAGGCGGCTGATATGTGCCTCGTTAAAAACATCCAATTCCCTAACAAGTTCAAAACTCCGGACTTCCCAAAATACATAGGGCTAACTTGCCCTAAAAGCCATCTTACGATGTACTGCCGTAAGATGGCTGCATATGCCGACAATGAAAAGCTCCTGATCCATTGCTTTCAGGAGAGCTTAGCTGAATCAGCTCTAAATTGGTATATGCAATTACAAGGAGGACAGGTCCAAACATGGAAACATTTGGCAGATGCTTTTCTTCGTCGCTATAAATACAATATTGATTTAACCCCTGAAAGAGCAGATCTACAATTGCTAAGCAAAAAGGACGACGAACCATTTAAGGCATATGCCCAAAGATGGAGAGAATTGGCAAGCACAAGTAGAACCTCCTCTATCCGATAAGGAAACCACATCCATGTTCATCAATTCTCTAACTGGTCCCTATTATGACAAAATGATAGGGAACACATCAACACTCTTTGCGGATGTGGTAATCATAGGAGAAAGAGTAGAGCAAGGTCTGAAAAATGGGAGAATTGCACAGTACACCTTTGTTGATTCTTCCATTCCTAACTTTAAGAAGGGTTTTGGAAAGAAGAAGGAAGGAACCGTGAACGCAATCAACATTACTACTACTCCTTCCTCCTCACAGCAGATCAGGTCACGCAAACAGGAAAGGAAATTTACACCAATACCTACCTCCTACGGAAGTCTGTTGATAAAATTGTTGGATGCTAAACTCCTTGTGCGCGTCCCTCCCAAAAGAATGGAGCCACCATATCCAGAATGGTATAAGCCGAACGAAAAATGCAATTACCATTCGGATGCTCCGGGACACTCTGTGGATAACTGCGTGGCCTTAAAACATAAGGTCCAGGATTTAATAGATGCAGGGTGGATTACCTTCGATGCATCTACCCCAAAAGTGGATGACCAACCCTTATTAAAGCCCGAGTGAAGGACGAGATAAGGAAGATCAGCAAATTAGGGCTCATCAATTTTTTTTCTCCATCTCAAAAAAAAATGATACTACAAAAATGTAATAAAAATATATCAAAAAGCTTTCGATGTATCTCTCATGATCCTTGCCCGTGATCATGAGATTTTTTTTAGGTGGGCCTTGTGAATATTTGCATTTATCAATACAATGAGGCATTTTCCATTTCTCTTTCGTTCCTTTCTCTCTCATTCCTAAATAATTAAATAAAATCTAAAACAAAATATAACCATACAGTCATGCCTGTGATTGAAAACTCTCTGGAAGATCCGAAAGCCGAAGACGAATGGATTGAGTCAGACAGTGAAGAGGGAACCATTACCCAGGACATGCAAAAACTGTTGGAAAAAGAACCTCAACCAATACAGCCCCATCAGGAAAAAATCGAGGCCATCAATTTAGGACAAGAAGATAATAAGAAAGAAGTAAATATTGGTACCCAAGTTGATGATAATGTCAGGGAAAGGCTGATACAATTACTAAAAGAGCATGTAGACATATTCGCATGGTCCTACCATGATATGCCTGGAATTGATACAAGCATAGTGGAGCATAGATTACCACTTAAAGAGGGATGTCGGCCCATTAAGCAGAAACTCAGAAGAGTAAAGCCATAATGGTCCTTAAAAATTAAGGAAGAAGTAGAAAAACAGTTGGATGCCAATTTTCTGATTGTGTCAAAGTATCCTAAATGGTTGGCAAACATCGTGCCAGTTGTCAAGAAAAATGGAAAGATCAGAGTATGCGTAGATTACAGGGACTTGAACCGTGCAAGTCCGAAAGATGATTTTCCCTTACCACATATTGATATGCTCGTAGATCACACTGCTACAAATACTCTTTATTCTTTCATGGATGGATATGCAGGGTATAATCAAATCAAATTGGCTGTCGAAGACAGAGAAAAGACTTCCTTCATTACGCCATGGGGGACATTTTGTTATAGAGTAATGCCTTTTGGACTTAAGAATGCAGGGGCAACCTATCAAAGGGCTATGGTTACACTATTTCACGATATGATCCACAAAGAAATCGAAGTATACGTGGATGATATGATTGTCAAGTCCAAAAATGAGACAGATCACCTCCTACACTTAAAGAAACTATTCAATTGGCTTCGAAAATACCATATTAAGCTTAATCTGGCTAAATGCACGTTCGGAGTACGATCAGGAAAACTCCTTGGGTTTATCGTCAGTAAAAAAGGAATCGAGGTGGACCCTGATAAAACAAAGGCAATCCTAGAAATGCCCCCACCAAGAACAGAAAAAGAAGTCAGAGGGTTCTTAGGCCGAATAAACTACATCGCACGGTTCATTGCGCAATTAACAGATAAATGTACGCCCATCTTCAAGTTATTGCGTAAAAACCAATCGACAGTTTGGAACGATGAATGCCAATGAGCCTTCGAAAAGATCAAAATATGCCTAACTAATCCTCCAGTACTGATACCACCTGTGGAAGGGAGACCCCTAATTCTTTATCTATCAGTACTCGACGAATCCATGTGATGTGTGCTCGGTCAACAAGATGATACTGGTAAGAAAGAAC